TAGGCCCAGGACCTTTCCTTCCCAGTGCATAGCAGCCACACAAGCAGAGTGCCAGCAGCAAGCCTTGGAGAGTCTTCTTACCACCCAGTACTGGGTCACTGCCAGGTCTTTGTCTAAATGGGGAAACCAAGGCTTCTGGAAATGCCAAGACAGCATTAGGGAAGGGGTGGGTCAACTGGAAACCAAGCTCAGGCAGGCTCAGGCGCACAAGGGGGCATCCCAGGACTGGCTGAGCTAGAGTGGGCATAGCCAAGGCAAGGCCAGGGGAGAAGCCTTGCTGAGGTTGTCTCTGAGGAGTCAGCCTATCCATACAGCCTATTGTAGGTGTACTGCGCCACTCAGGTACATCTTGGCTCTGCCCCTGTAGTAGGCCACACTGAAGAGCAGTCAGTATCACTTTATGCTCTCATTCCCCATGCTCCTGTCCACGCTTTGCAGCATCTCACCCTTCCCAGTCCTGGACCACTAGAAACAATCTATATTCTTGCTTTGCAGGCAAGACTTCAGGGCTGAGACAATGTACAGGAGTCACTCAGACGGAACCAAGGTCCTGCCCACCATCCCTTCTCTGCTGCAGGCACTACCCTCAGGCTGTCTTCCTTCTCTACACTCCCCACCTGCACCTGGCTCTCCCGCCAACCTTTGGGTGTCACCCCCAGAGCTACTTCCCAAGGAGGTATTGTGACTACATCACTCCAATCTCTTACTCTGTCCACACAGATTTCATTCACGAACTAGACAGGTGTGATAGTTGCACATCAGGAATGTACTGATTGCCACTAAATTGTACACTTCAAAATTGTTAAAATGAAAATTCATGTTGTGTTTTACCACACACATCAAAATCAGGTCTTGATGACACCCCGACAGCTATGAGGTCTGTCCACTGGGCTCCAGCCATGAGGGCTAACCTGTCATTCCCACCTCAGCGCCTTTATACTTGCTGTTGCCTCTCCCCAGATGCTTCCTCTCACCTCTCTTTCTGACTGGCTCCTCTCTTTCTTCATATTGAGCTGCAGAGAATCACAGAGATGGGAGCTCCAGATTGCCTGCACTCACTGCTACAGCTGCCACACCCAGCCCGGCCACCCCACAGCAGGCACTCAGTAAATGTGCAAAAGGAAAAACAAATGCTTGGGGATGATGACTGCCTTGACCCTGCCAGTTCTGGGTTTTTGCTTTTGTTTTTTAATAGAGGAGTTTATTTGAGCCAAATTGACAATTGCCTGACAGCAAAATCTCAAATGCTCCCTTGACCCTGACAGTTTTGTAGACTACAAGATGAGATTCGGATTCTACTACTTTTAAAGCTTTTTTTAATAGACTTAAAATTCACATAACATCAAATTAATCATTTTAGCTCTTTTAAAGTGGAATTTCGGTTTTTTACCTGGTATTTTATGCATTCACTATGTTGTGCAACCACCACCTCCATCTGGTTCCAGAACAATTTCACCTACCCAAAGGAAACCTTGTATCCATCAGCACCACCCCATTCCCTCTCCCACTAGCAACCACTGTTTGCCTGTTTCTATGAACTTTTTAAGCTTTTTTTCTGTCTCTAGAACACACTCCTGAACTGAGCACTGCAAACTAGGGGCCCACATGACTCTAAAGAACTTTTTAACCTTTTGATGGAAGTTTATAATACATAGAGAAAAGCACACCCATCTTACATACAGGGAGCACCCTAGGTAATCAGCTATGATAGGAGAAACAAAGAATGTCTCTGGCTCCCAGCAGCCCTCCATGCCCCTCATAGCCAGGGCCATCCTGAGTTCTCCCACCCCAGATACACAGCGGTGCTGTTCTGTACTTGGAATCACACAAGGTTTGCACATCAGCATCTGGCTGCTTTCCTGCGTGTACATCCGTGTGGCTCTGTGTGGCCATTCTTGTGTGGGCCCCATCACACAGATACCCTTCTGCTTGTGCACACACTGCCTTATGGGTTCGTGCAGGAGGCAACCACTCCCTGTGTCTCTCTTTCCCTCTCTCTCCCTTCTACTCTCTCTGAAAAGCAATGGAAAAAATATCCTTAGGTGAGGATTAAAAAATAAACAAGTATTCCTGGGGGGAATGGATGGGTGAGAGATGGAAGGCAGAAAACAAGCTTTTTTAAAAATTTTATTTATTGATTGATTTGAGAGAGAGGAGAAGAGAGAAACATGTATTTGTTCCACTTATTTATGCATTCATTGATTGATTCTTGTGTGTGCCCTGACCAGGGATTGAATCCCAAACTTTGGGGTATGGGGATGACGCTATAACCAACTGAGCTACCCGGGCAGGGTAGAAGGCAAGCTTATATGCAGGCAGCGTAGAGAAGGCACCAGATCCTCTCAGTTGCCCTTTAAAATCACTATGGTCCCTTCATCAGTTTCCTGTGGCTACTGTAACACATTACCACAAACTTGATGGCTTAAAACAGAAGTTTAATTTCACAGTTCTGAAGGCCAGAATTCTGAACTGAAGTGTTGGCAGCTTCCTCTCTGGAGGCTGCAGGAGAGGACCCTTCCTCGCCTCTTCCAGCATGTTGCCTTTGCCTTTCTCTCCTAAGCTCCAAGGGCCTTCTTTTGCCTCTGTAACTTGTTTCCAGAGCCCATGCAGCCCCGCCGGGCGTAGCTCAGCGGTTGAGCGTTGACCTGGGATCCAGGCAATCGGGGTTCAATTCCTGGTCAGGGCACATGCCTGGGTTGTGGGCTCGATCAATGACTCTGTCATCATTGATGTTTCTATCTCTCTCTCTCTCTCTCTCCTTTCCTCTCTCTGAAATCAATAGATATATTTAAAAAAACAAACAAACAAAAAAAACCAGAGCCCATGCAGCTGGCTCACTTCTTTCTACCTCTGTAGCTTTCTAAACAAACGTTCACTGCTGGCCAGTATACTCAGTGGTTGAGTGTCAAACTGTGAACCAAAGGTCCTGAGTTCGATTTCTAGTCAGGGCACATGATTGGGTTTCGGGCTCGATCCCCAGTAGGGAGCGTGCAGGAAGCAGCTGATCGATGATGATGTTTCTCCCTCAAGATGTTTCTATCTTGCCTGGCCAGCGTGGCTCAGCGGTTGAGCATCGGCCTAGGATCCAGGAGATGGAGGTTCGATTCCCAGTCAGGGCACATGCCTGGGTTGTGGGCTCAATCCCCAGTTGGGAGCATGAAGGAGGCAGCTGATCAATAATTCTCATCATTGATGTTTCTATCTCTCTCTTTCCCTCTCCCTTCCTCTCTCTGAAATCAATAAAGATATATTTAAAAAAAAAAAAAGATGTTTCTATCTTTCTATCCCTCTTCCTTCCTCTCTCTCTAAAAAATTCTATTTAAAAAAATATAAAAAATTAAACATTCACTTATAATTTGGGGCAGGGGAAGGCCAACATTTTCACACAGACTTTTCCTCTGTGTGCTGTTGCTATGGACTGATTTGTGTCCACTGCAACATTAGGTTGCAGCCCTGCCAACGAGATAGTATTTGGAGATGGGCCCTTAGGGATATAATTAGGCTTAGGTGGGGTCATGAGGGTGGGGCCCTCATGATGGGATTAATGGTCCTCCTAAGAAGAGATACCAGAAAGTTTGCTGTAATCACAAACAGGGATCCTGTGAGCAAACAGCAATGTGACATCCTCCTATAAACCCAGAAAAAAGGCCTCAGAATGTAACCTACCTTGCTGGCGCCTTGACTTGGACTTCCCAGCCTCAGGAAGTATTTCGCTTATTTAGGCCTCCCTGTCTATGGTATTTTATTATGGCAGCTGAGCAGACTAAGACAGTTGTCAAATTTGCCTCTGCCTTGCTCTTACAAGGGTACCTGTGCATTTACATTCAGAGCCCACCCATATAACTCAGGATAATTTCCCCACTTCAAGATCTTTAATTGCTAAGAACCTTTTTCCTTCTAGGAAAGCACTTCCAGGCTCCAGGGATTACAATGTATATAGCCTTGAGGACCATTTATCAGTTTATTGCAATCCACGTTTCACAGAAGGGAAAACAGATCCCCAAAGAACAGAAGGTGCTCTCCAGGGCCCCACAGTCTGTGTGGGTTCAGCCCAGTCCTGGGCTCAGTGAGTGCCCTCACCCCTTCCATTTGCTGCTTCCCAAGAAATCTGTGGTCCCCAGGAGTGACCAGGAGGGAGAGGATGGGAGATATCCAAAGCCCAGAGGGCTATTCCTTCCCCTGTAGAGAGAAACCAGAGGAAATGACTGATTCCAGAACCACAAAGGGGAAGGCCTAGGCTCACCTGGAACACCTTGTTATGCCACAAAGTGAGAAGTGCCCAGCCTTGGCTGGTTTGGCTCAGTGGTTGGAATGTCAGCTGGTAGTTTCCTCTCTCTCTCTCTCTCTCCACCCCCTTCCACTCTCTCTGAAAAGCAATGGAAAAAAATATCCTCGAGTGAGGGTTAAAAAAAAAGAAGAAGAGTGACAGGACATACTACAAGGACACAGGAGCCAAACCTGATGACATACCTGAAGCATCAGGAAAAACAATGACAGGCCACAGCCGGGTGCCGCAGTTGGTTAGAGTGCCATCCTGATACACCAAGGTTTCGGGTTCAATCACTGGTCAGGGTACATACAAAAAGCAACCAATGAATGCATAAATAAGTGGCACAAAACAACAAACAGGTATTTTTTTCTCTTTCTCACCCTCTCCAAAAAATTAAAAGAAAAAGATAAAACAATGACAGTCACTGTTCTTCCAATGAATCCACCCTATCCATGAATCTGTAAAGGTTCTCAGAAAAGAGAGAGCCAGAAAAATAAGGCCATCTGTCAGCCTATGATGCCGCCTTCAAGCCAGCCTCTTGCTCTGAGAATTCAGCACAGATCCTGTCTTCCCAAGGGGAACTGTATTTCAGAGGAACACATGGTCCCAGTTCTGGTTTAGATAATTACATGCTAGAATTTCAAAAACATCATTTCCCAACCTATAATGAGATTCCTGAACAGCCCAGGATTATCTGTGTAGATATTCTGGGGTGAATGGGGGGGTGTGGTGTCATGTGGCCATCTGAGAGTGGACTCATGAGTGGGCAGTGGACAGTCAGGCTGTTACTGCCCCCACATTAGGGTTAGCAACACTGAGATCCAGATGGCACCCACCCAACCCCCTTGTGAGGGATTCTAGCCTGAAAGCCAAGTTCTTAACCTAACTTTCCATTAACGGGCTATAAGGAGATGTTGGAGGGAGGGAGAGAAATAGCCAGCAAGTCCATCCTGAATGGGGATGTCCCTTATTAAGGGTCCACTGTCTTCCACCAGACACCAGATTACTGACTGCTAGGCTGGAGCAGAAGCGGACACAGATGGCACAAATGTCCTAAAACTGGACTGTGCTGATAGCTGCGCGACAATGAATGTTATTTTACTAAAAGTCTTTCAAGGGTACCGCAATGGCTGTATTTCATGGCATGTAAATCAACTGTTAGAAAAGGGGGGG